ATTGCATGGAATTTATGAAAAAAGTCTGCCTAATCCGTGAAATCGGTTGCCATGGGTATTGCCGAAATCGTGTATTCGGCAACGGCGTAACTGAGTTCATGAAATCAGCAATACCTCGGCGTATATATAAATAAAATAATTGTATCCTATTGTTCATCGGTTATAGTTTTATCTTAACTGATCAAAGTGTAATAATTGCATTATACTCGTAATTTACGTAATATATGAGTGGGATTGATTTTGGATGACGTAACATATCTACATATTATGAGTTTTAATTATTTTAACCATACAAACTCATCTCGTGAGACAGTTTGTAACAATGAGCCGTATATGATGACCGTTCGCCATACATACATTCCTGCCTTTCGACCATTGTCGTATGATTATCGCGATTCGATCTGGTCCGTCATCGCAATGCCCCTCCTATTGTATACGCATATAATATTATGATGAATACATAATTTGCCTTATCAACCGTCCCAAAAATTTGAAATTCGAATTTACTGACTCATTTGTTTCATAAAAGATAACATTTTTCGATGGAACTTGCAAAATAATAGCAAACGCAATATCGTACAATCAACCATGTGGGAACGATAATATAAAACTCTTGCTTTGATTGTCCTCTCTAGTGGTCATTCAAAGGGACCGAAGCGGTAATTTTCTGTCTCAATCGCGCAAAGGACATATACATTTATATGAATTTTTATTCAAACGTTACCGGTCGATGTTATATAGTGATTTGATAAGAAATCTAATAGCAGATTTGAATTCGCCGTTAGTTCTACTTCTGATGGACTTTCTTATTTTTTTATTTTTATTTTCTTAAATTCTACAAAATAGAATCAAACAAAACAGAAATCCATAAATTGAAAAAGTCATTTTTTTATCTTAAGTATACAAAGTTTATAAATGTGGGGAAAACGATTTAATAAAGTTTACTCTACGAATCATCTGTTAGCAATGGTACAGTAGATCGATTAGGGTACGTTCGTTTAAATGGAAATACATATGAATTGCTACGTTGGTTGTGTTATAATAACGATGGATGATCATAGCTTATAATATCCTTAAGCCGAAGTACGGAAAATTTGTTAACACAACGTAAAGAATTTGATGTGAACATGAAAAACGCGATGGATGTAATCGTTTATAAAAATCATTATTCCTATTCGCGAAATACACCCAAAAACTAATTATTTCGGTTGCAAATTAATATTTTACTTAGAAACCAGCTTATATTAATTTTTCACTAAGACGTTCTCGTTAGACAAATTTTTAAAATATACCCCTCCTTATAAATGCATGTATCCTGCGGATTTGTTTCAGACGCGTACGCTCGTGCGGAGGCTAAAGGACACGAAAACAATTTAATTTCCCGAAGCGTTTAAAATGAAAAAAATAAAAAAAAAACCACAAGAAAACATTAGTGCGGTTCAATACAAATGGTCAGGTCACATGTAAAAATGTCAAAGTCAATAAATAATGGTTAATCCTTTACCCCCACCCCCAAAATCTATACGATATAGCCACCGCTTAAGTCTTTGGGGGTAGACCGGATATCCGTCGCTGTAGGTCCTGTGTATTTGTAAAGGTTAGACAACCATTTTCGAGGTCCGGTGATCGGTAGTCCTGCGGGACGATTTCATTGTCACAACCCACCGTAGTCAAAAAATTAATTAATAAAAAAACTCAAATTGGGAAAGATATTTGTTTTTTTAAAAAATATATTAAATGTTATATAAGAACGTTTTTTTCCGACTTAAACGACTAATGTCCATTACTGTATACTAAATATATAAGCATAGTAAGCATAGTAATAGCGTATTAAGGTGCATGCATTGTTATGTACACCAAGCGCTGATCACACGCGGCCCCCGTAACTTTTTTCCTTAATTTAAAAGTATTCCATCGTATTCGAAATTAGTATTAAGGACAATCAAACAATGGAACTCGTATTATTAAGAATTTTTATATCAATATTTGTATTAAAATAATTGTTTGCTACAATTGTTATTTTTGTTATAATTATTTTTGTTCGTATTTTCCTTTACCAGACGTACGTCTTCCTTCTTTGTGTTGTTATTTTATTTACTTAAAATCAAATTATCATTATTGCTTTATAGTAACTACTTGTCAGTGAATTTTAGTTGTCATAAAATAGAAATCTTGAAAAGTTTATTAACATGATTATTATTTTTATTATAATTATTGTTTTTGTGTTTCTTTTCACACTATTGCTATTCTTATTATTATTATTATTATTATTATTATTATTATATCGTACAACCAAATTATTTTACTATACAGTTTGTTCGTATTTATAAATATTAATAGATGCTGAAATTATATTGCTAACAGGTAACATTTGTTTTAATTCCTTATTTGAACCTCGATAAAAATCTGAAAAAACATGATCTGCATAGGTAAAAAAGCTGTCCACCCCCCGTTGTATAAGTGGATGTAACTTCTCATGCGAAATAGCAGGTAAACATCACCCCTGGATATGTCTACGTAAGTTTCTACATGAATAAAAATCATAATGATTACAAATTTTCTTGCAGACTTAGGACTAACAATTTAGTTGATGCGAATACAATTTATTTGGTTTCGAATTTTGTAAAAAATCTTATGTAATTTTTAATCGAATCTTGTCCATATATAATAATGTAATTTCATCCATACATTATAGGTAGATAATATGATAATAATATATATAATTATAATGATAATAGTAATAAAATAGGTAAATTAAATTGTATGTGGCTTATTACAGAAATTCAAATTTTTAATGCTATCATGTGTTATTTGTTATAAATTGTATTCTAATTGCTGTTATTTATATTATTTTGCTTATTTCGCTTATATTTTGAGATCTATTGATATCTGATGTTATTGTTTTAATTTATGCATTTTTATGAAAAAATTTTAAGATTATTATTATTTTGATCAAATTAGGACGATGATTAAAATCAAAGTTGAAGTGAAAACTTTCACAAGCGTCTGTTAGATATCCACAAGAACTAGGAGTAGCTCAAATACTAGGAAGGAAATACTGATTTCCTCTGTGGAATTTGTCACTAAATCCTCTCCAAGTTCATTTATTTTATTATTATTTGGTTTTTCAGCCATGAAACATGTACTTTTGTTCGTTTAGGAACATACGTACCGGTACATTTTTTTTCATGTGGACATTTGCGTATTGGTATATTTTTATTTTTTTTTTTTTTTTTTTGTGTAGAGAGACTTACATATGTAATGTTTACATATATATCTTGCCTGCTATGCTCCGTGTGGGAACTTATCATCTCTCTATTGTCGACTGTACACGTGCTAGTGTGTAATGAGAAAGTATTTGTTTTTTCAATACTACAACATACAAAACAGTCTCACATGTAGCCGCTTTATATACAAATACGACGTCAGCTTTAAATAATTATCACACGCGTATGCAACCACAGTAATCGGAATCGTAATTGTGTTGTGTTTTTTTTTTCTTTCTTCACCGGAGACCGTTAGAAATAACCCCCCCCCCCCACTCCCCACAAAAGAAAAAAATAAAAACAAAAAAAAAAAAAAAAAGTTGTTATAAATTCTATGCTTTTGTTAATGTACACAAATTGTAAATATCCGTAGATTTAGATAGCCTACGACTGCATCTGCAAACCAGGGATTAGGTAAAATATTCCCGGAATAATTTGTGTACCTTTTAAAAGCGGTAAATTAAGTCCCGGAAAAAAAAGAGAATATTTATGTCGGGTCCCACTTTCCTATTTATATCTCACCAAATACTATATTTTCTCCAAAAATTTGATTTGGACGTGCAGATATCAACGTAAAACAAATTTTTGCGAATCATATTATTCACGTGATTATGTCAACGTTTTTATAGCCCACATTCTAATATTTTTAACTTTTTTGACGAATTATTAGAAATACAGTAAGAAACGTAAGTAAAATTGCGATTCACAAAACGAATAGTATGTTCGAAACAAAGAAATATTAATCAAAAGAGAACAAACAAATAAAAACTTTAATAATTCTATAACCCGATTTGAATTTTTCAAATCCGTTTAATTTAAATTTTTACAAAAAGTTATTATAAAAAAAACACATGCTTTAGTTAAATTATAATAATTAAAATTAAATAGATTTTTTAATGTGTAGAATTTATACCATAATTATAAAATTGAATTTCTAATAAAGATTATTAAATATTAAATAAATAACACAAATGTTGATTGTTCAACAATCATATGTATCTGATAAAATGATCGTCATAGCATTTGTTGAAGATATTAATAATTTATTTTTTAATCCTTCGTAAATTTTAGTGTTCAACATTAGTAACACAATTGGTAATACAATATAGAAAACATCCGCTTTAGATACGGCTACGTAATGAGCAAAAAACAGCAAACCTAGTGCACAAAATATGGAGTCCATCCAACAATCGAGCTCATCGACTGCAACAAAAACAGAAAGAGTCAGAATCAAGTACTATATCCCAGAATTCTTCTGTCAGTTACTGGGACCAAATTATGCAACCATTAAACAGATAAGAAATTCCATTAAAGAAGTACAAATCGATAATTTGTTATGAGCAACTATTAAATCAATCTGAAAATGATTGTGCCTATATCAAAAAGAAATAATAATTATTGTACGATAAAAATAAATAAAATAATGCCAATTATTAGCCAATAACCACGTTGCTTATTTCTAAAAAAAAAAAAAATGGTTATAATTTTTTCACAATAATAATGGTAATAAAGAAAAATTCACGATGCCGTCAACTATTTATCACATTTTTAAATATTATGCGTGAATAAATAATAAGATTTTGAGTAAAGAAATAAATAATTAAAAACAATTTATATTAAAAAAAAATAAATGCAAATTTACATTTTTTGATTACATTATCTTTAAAAGTATTATACAAAATTATTATTATGAAATTCAGAATAAATGTGTTTACAAGGAATTATACTAGGTATTTGAAAACCGATTTTAAGTTTTCGAATAGAAAACTTCAACAATTATCTCGATGCATACTTTTGTATTTGAAAAAATCCTTTTTGCCACGTCACAAGATACAATTGGTACATATTTGAAACTAGATAAACCTTCAACTAACAGTGCATCCTCTTCATTACATTTCGTTATCTTGCCATTGATTGTACTATCGAGTTTTATCACTGTAGAATATCCACGAGTTTTTGACTAGACATTTGTAAGTTAAGATCTAGTGAAATATATTCCAGACCATTCTTATTTGAACTTATTTTTAATCTTTTCTACGAGCAATACACTAACCTGTAACATAATGTGGTACTTGGTAGTCACGCTGTATATACACCGGATGATATCTACCAAAATTCGAGTAAATGTGACCACTACTATCCGCCGCAATAAGCTCCAACGAGATAAATATATCACACCGTAAGACAGGTTCTCGTCTGGTGTCTGTCATACTGCCCGGAACGGAATATTTTATTTTCTTATAGTCATTATTTTCTTCAGTATTTATTATTTTTTTCTGTTTTCTGATGTCACCAACATCGTCCATGAAGTAGAAACAAAGACCTTGCCCATAACGTAGAGTTTTTTTTGGGGGTGGGGACAATTTTATAGTTAATAACGTTTACGATCATCGTGGACGCAGTAATGTATCAATTGATTATTTAAATATTTTCTGGCCAGTAATTGACGATTTTTTTTTTTTATTTGTTTGTGGCCGAATGGTACAAAATCGTTTTGATAAACTTATATTATTATTATTATTATTATTATTATTATTATCTATATTGTTAGATATTTAACAGTCTGATGTGAGAACTATACCGGCCGCTGATCCATCCTCGGATGAGATAATATTATGTTGAATTATGATTCTTGATATCATAGGTATTATGTAAAATATGACCAAGTTTTATGTCCCGGGGTTTCTCGGCGACCAAACTGAAAAAAAATAAATATTATTTTCATTCTTTCCTTTCAAAAAATATAAAATTCAAGTTTACTATCGTTTTGTCCAATGGTTTTAGAGTAATAAAAATCCTGTAAGCCTCGGCCCACCAGCTTTGGTCACAGGTTAGTAACCCCTGCTTCAGCGAATCAATCATGTGGTCCCCAACTTAAAAGTCCGAATCGTCGCAATCTTCTAAAGTAACAATCGATTTATCTTGTTCTGCAACTGTATTTATTAAACAGTGAAACACTGAATGTGTATGGTAATAGCAACAAGCTCATTTTTTAACACTTATGAAATTATTTACACGTGATAGTAATTTTCAAAATATTTTAATAAAGATATAACTATAATGATTATTAATTTTAAAACATGCATCACTTATGCAACTGTCCAGAAATATGCAATTAATATGAATTTCCATTAAAATGTGCTAAAATATGCAAAAATAAAAAAAAAATTAACCATATAATCTACACATCACGGAACGTTGACATTTATAATCAAAATTATTAGAGGTGAATTATAGAAGAATGAACATTTGCATATAAAAAACCCTTATGACTACTATACGTAGCTCGTAAATAAGAAATAAATGCAGACGCAGGTCACGTGTAGACGTGACGATAAACTACGTCATGATATATTTGTATACATGCACGATAATGATATACAACACGAGAAATATTGTGCGAAAAATAAACTCATTTACCACTCGGCTTCGCGGCTGAAGCAAATGGTTTTCGCGTAAATACCTTTTTCGAACGAGATTGAAAAGAAAAAACCGTCTTCGAGAATCCGCAGTAAAATACTGAGCACCTATTTCGGGATCAGCTAAGAGGCGTACTATAATAATAATTATTTTTATACACCTCCAGAGGTTAATTCGTCGGGGAAAAATCTCAATTCGATTTATCGAAACATGAGGGGCATACCACCAATCGCGCGTTTATCGAAACACGTGACAGTTCCAGTCCGATAATAATTATTTTTGAGTGTTTACAGGCGCACAGCACTCAACCAAATAATATTATCAGTACGTACTATATTGTTATTACAATGAAATTGACGTTACAGTTCGAAGGACTTAAGGCAATAATTAAGACCGGGGAATTGGGCAGATACAGTTAATTGAGCAAAACACAATTGGAGCCCAAATAGAATTCAGTCCGAGAAGTTTTTAGCTTGGTAACATTATACGTAAAAAAAAAAAAAAAACGAATGTTACCTAACTTAAAAAAATAAAATGAAATATTACAACACATAATAACAATTAATCGAATTCGACATCTCTAGATGAGGTCCAAATTATTATGATTAAAAATACGTACTCTTTGTTTATTTTTCGATTTTCATACAAGTTCTTTGTCAAACTACTTTGACTTTTACCTCGAAAAATAATGTTGTAGTTTTTTTTATTTGTAAAAATTAACGATATTTTCACCATATTGTTCATCTAATTTATCTCGAATATTTTTGACATGAGGCACATAATTAAAATAAACATCATTAATACATGACAATATATAATTTTCAATTCCATACTGTTTTCTAAAATAGAGTATATTTTTTCCATTTCCATAATAATACTTTTATTTTGCGGCCTATTTTTTTTTTTGAATTACTACTGGAAGATGATTTGAAAAAATGTTTAAGATAACACCAACTGCTACAACATAAATATCACTAGACGAATGTTTTTTAACCTTTTTATCCCATACATAATTATGGTTTTTTTGATTATGCAACTATAGAATGGTTTACGCTTAAGCTTGTTATTGTACAAATACAATCTGTTTATTCACAACAGGTTTTTTCTTTTGAATATCCAAACAACCGTTCTTTATTTAAAAATATGAATTCCTTATTAGAGACAATATAAGCACTAGCTTATTTTAAGGCACTTAAGATGCTACTTATACGCGTGTACCATTTTCTACATTATAAATTTACTATTATCGTTCCACTGCAAAAGTTTTTTAAATTTACTGTCAACACGTATGTGATCAGATTTGACGAGACTCAATAAGATTTATATCTATTATATATATGATTTAAAAATCGAGTTGTTAGTTAGTTGATAAAATTGTCAATAAATAGCATAAAACATATTAATCTATAATAATTTTCTCCAAATTTACATGTTAAAACATACTCATCTGATTACCTATATTATTACGTTCCTTCGGTGAACTCCATATTCGAATTTCGAACTGCGGTACAATGCATTAATGATCAAACGATTTCCGCACCGATTAGAGTAGATAAATCATGTAATATTATTATTTCGCGCGAAATCGATATACGCTTGGGGAAGAGTTATGCGTGCCATATTTGTATAACTCCACCACGGTTTAATTATCTCGCGGGTAAAACAATCTTATTAAATTTTGCTTGGCTATGGAACATTAACATTGTTTTCCTTCGCACAGTGATGCAGTGTTCAAAAGTTACCAGTAGTTTAGTCACGCGCGACTGGAATACATCATAATATTATTAATATCGGATTAAATAAATTTATGTGTACTTACAAGTCAATGTTATGGTTTGAACCGGGTTATTATAAAAAAAAATCGTTTTTATTTATTTAATTATTTTCTGTTCTTGAAACCGAATAACAAACGTGAATATCCAAGGGTCAAGGGATGAAGTTTTGTGATGAATCGATTTCTATAAATTTTTTTTTTTAAATGTTATCATAATGATTATATTTTAGTTTATGAGGGGTTTTATTCATATATAATGGTTTCGAATGAATGGTATTCAACGTTTTCGTGGTGTAGCGGTTATCACATCTGCCTAACACGCAGAAGGTCCCCAGTTCGATCCTGGGCGGAAACAAGACTTTTTTGTGAATATTTTTTAAATTTTTTTATTACACGTCATGTACATTAATTGGGTTATAAATTGTTTACGGTTTATCGTGTGCTTATATGATATACATGATAAAATTAAATAATGTATCGATTTTATTATATGTTAATTAGCACAGAATTGTGTACAACTTATTTTTGTACATTTTTTTTCACTCGATCAATATGTTACTGATAGTAAGTTTTTGACCATCATGTTTATTGCAATATGATCGCTATCGAGGAATTCACGTGTAGTGTTTACGTATTGTTTTTCATATTTTTCAAAGCATCGCTGTATATTTTATTCATTAAGTTGTCATTAGGTCATCTTTATGTTTAAAGATCGTATCTATATAATGGTGTATTTGACACGAGAAAAAAAATAGTGACCACATTGATTTATTAAATATCGGCTCAAACCCAAGTCGTGGAAACCGATATAACCGCAGTATTAATTTATGTTTACTTGTGTTTCTCTCTCAACTCTTGCGCGTACCTATTTTTCATACGTTCTTACCGCAAGGTTATAAGTAGTATCGAAATCATTTACGATGTACAATACCCGGTATCTTATGTCAAGACCGCGATTTATGAACGTATTTTGTACTTCAATAATCTTGTTCACTTTTGTTCCAAAACACAATTCGCTTGCAAACAATTACAATACAGTTGAATATATTTTTTTCCACGCCAGCGTTATGTTAATATTTAATCATCCAGTCCCTGCGACTAAATTGCACCGCGATCAACAAGTACCTATTTGTCATAGAGAACCCATGCTCGAATAAGCAAAAATATTTTAAAATGTTTATTGTGTATCTTGTATTTTCTTTCGTACATTCGTTGCATATTATTATCGTGTCTCGGTTTTAAATTAGTACAAGTCACGTTCTAGAGTTACGTTGCTTAATCAAGTTTATTTGTCTCGATCTCCATTTATCCGTGCATCAACATACGATAATATTAAATTTAATTCCTATAACTTTATTGCTACTACACTACTATATAATGTGCGAAATAAAATTGGACACTAACTGCATGCCAATTTGGAGCGGTAGGACCATGTTGGTCGGTTTTCCAAGTATGTAAAAAATATTCGATCGTGCTTTCATACATTTGATAATAACTCAATACGATCATTGTGTACGAGTACATCATTGATTCCAAGACCGGAAGATTTTCTCGAAAGAGTCGAGCCCTAAACGATGAAAGTGTGGAATAAAAATTGCACAAATTCATTGTTAGATTACTCAGTAATGTGGGCGTAACTTGGAAATTGATTAGGAGGGGGGAAATATATAGTTACATATCAACTAGTCTATACTATATAAATAAACATTACATTACTTACTTATAAATATATATTAAAATTACTTTTTGTTGTATACTAGTATAAAATGATGAATATTACTAACTAAAAAAAAACTGTATCATAATAGCCAGCTATAATCAGCTGTTTTGTACTTATTTTAAAATATAGTATGTTAAATAATAGAGGAAGCACTGGCCCTCTAAATTTATTCTAAGGGGGAAATGCTCCCCCTTACCACCTCCATTTGAGCCTATGCTTAGTAATAAAAAACAAAAATATTTGAGTATTTAAATAATAAAAAAAAAATAACCATTGTTATTTTATTTCATTTTTTCAGGGTTGGAGATACCTACATATTTATATATATTAAGAAGGTTTGAATGTAAAAAGTTTGAAAACCCCTAGTACCTATACATAATTTATTTTATAAAGTATAGACTATTTAATTGTGTATAACTATTTACAAATTTTGTTTTAGGTTTTATTTTCAAATGGATTATTGATACTGTGAGATCCGACAAAAATTAAATAATAAGTTATAATACAATTCAATTATTATTCAGAAATATTCGATTCACGTATATATTAAACGATTTTCAACAG